TTAAATAGAAGCATTTTTCGTTTTATATAAATAACGATGGGAAAAAAAATAATATCAGAATTTTTAGTCGTATTTGAAAGTCATTACTTCATAATTTGTCATTTTTTTAAAATTATGATTAGTAGCTATTTAACTAAAAAATAAAAATAAAATTTAATTTTAATTTAATTTTTTATTTATTTTTTTTTTATTTTTATAAGCGCCATAAAAAAGTGAAAATTTAATTTATTATATATTTTATTATATAATTTATTATATAATTTATAATTATAATTTTATTTTATATAATTTTTTATTTAAATTTAAATAAAATTTCATTATTATCATTTATAACATTGATAATAATGCTATTCTTTTTAAAAAAAATACCTACAGAATTCCTCTGTGTTTGAAACTGTGAACATTTTATTTAAACTAAATGTAGAGATTTATGTGATTTTCACGATTAGTCTTAGTCTTAGTCTCACACTAACTAATCATACACGATTTAGGGATATTTAGCAATCACATTAAATGTTCGGACCAATCTGTGTAATGTATCAATTTCAAGGCTAGAAAAACCGCACTGATGGTAATTAATTCTATTAGATTATCAATTCCAAGTACTGCACAATTGAATGCAATATCCGAATTACACAATCTATTAAATATGTCAGATTTGTAAGGGTCAAATGTTAAGTATAATGCCTATCTATATGTCGATACTACAATATTAATATTTTCAATGACGCTAATTACCATTTCCCTTAGTTTTTGAACAATAAAATTATGCAACTTCATTGTTCACATAACATTTTTTTTTCGACAAATTAAAAAAAAAAAAAAAAAATCAAATTTATAATTTTTAATGTAGATAACAAATTTTTTTTTTATCATTTATTTTAACTAAAGTGTTTTCTTTCGTTAAAAGTGAGGAAATAAACCTTTTGTTTGAATGATAGCAAAACTATTCATTTTGTAAAAAATAAATACAGCAGTTTTCTCACAGATAGAAACGATTTGATTCCGATATATTTTATAAAGCAATAACAATATATAAAGCAATCAACCTCAATGTAAATGTTGTTTTCAAAACGTTCAAATAGTTAATACTTACTTTGAAATTTAATATGTTTATATGTATAAAAGTATTAATTAAGTTTTGCTTACTTGAATTTTGAAGATTGATAATATCAGTGTAATATATGGTCACCACGTTCAAAGCTTACAAAAGCCCCTAAAAAAAATTTAGATAACTGGAACACTATGTTATAATGCATACTAAAAGCAATGTTTACTTTTGAAAAATATTTTTTATAATAAAAAATTATTTTTATACTTTACAATTACAATCATGGAAACATTCATATTTTCGTAAATACATGACATATTTCGTATTGACATGACATATATATTTCAAATTTATTATGTGACACTTTTCTTTTGAAGCTCAGAAAACATATGCTGATACTGTTAAAAACACAACTATAATTTAAAAAATGCCTAATCGAGCTTGATTATGCTGGTTGATTGTTGTTGTTTCTTATCCCACTTGGCGGCCAAGCCCACGAGCCATACGTACTCATTATCAAGGGGAAGGAATCAGCTTCTGTTGTGATGGAGAACACCCGTAGGTAGAAGTCTGACTTTGGCTCCGTGACGCTCTTACAGCCATAGGAGACCAGGACCTACGGCTTAAAAGTTGGATTCGAACCACTACAAAAACATCCATGGCACTGCTGGGATTCGGAACCCGAAACCTGTGGCACCGAAGGCGCTAGACACTCGGCCATTCAGGTGTTCCCAAGGTGGTCACCCCAAGTACTGTCCGCGCTTGGTGATGCTTAACTTCGGTGATCTAACGAGAACCGGTATATTCAGTATGGCATGGCCGTTGGAATGCTGGTTGAAAAACATATTACGATTTTAATATTGGTTAAACAATGTATTCTACTTTAATTGCTTAAATATTTTTATATTAATGTTCCTTTTAATTTTTGTTTCTTAATTTTACTCTTTAGTCGATATTTAATTTTTTTTAATTAATTTTCTGTTATGTCGATAATGATGAACACTGCAGATTTTAGGCTGAAACACCCGTTCTGAAGTAGCGTTGGTTTTGAGGACAACGTCGCAACCTTTTAAGAGACCTCTTTGGGTGGTGTTAAATCAAATTGCATTGGAGAAGTGTCGATGCATTGTTGCAGATAACATTGTTAAGGCTAAATTACAACACTTGTTTCACGAAGGCAGGTATTAAGCTACAACTACGATATTTCATTATAAAGTTGTAATAAATCCACCTTCAAATGTCAGTAGTGGTCAAATTTAAAAAATATATATATTTGCATAAATCACAGGCTGTGTTTATTTCTTTTATATAAGAGCTACAAGAATGATGTAAATGAGATTGAAAAATAAAATTAATTAAATACAAACTTTTACTTTAATTTACATTTAGCATACATCATGGAGCCCATGACGAGTACCACACTTTACATGTTGAAAAAATTCAACAGATTATTAGCTAAAGAATTGCTTTAACCAACCACGGAATTGCATAGAATAATTGAAACGCGATTAATTCTAAAATAATTTAATTTCATGTTTATTTAAATTGCTGTGTTCATACATTTTTAGTTTGAAATGTTTTCAATTTATTTTATGCAGAGAAAATGTAATTCTGATGTGCATAGGTTTTGCCAACTATCATAATGTAATATTTTGGAATATTTCTGTGTATTACTGCTTTTCATAAATTAAGCACATATTTTTATTTACTTTAAATTTATATATATATATATATATATATATATATATATAGTAGAACCTCTGTAAGTCGAACTTCAAGGACACGCCAAATAATTCTTTTGTAAGTTTTTGACTTATGCAGGATTTCGACTAAAGCGGATTTTTGTAAGGAAATATTCGACTTGTAGAGGGTTTAAGATTCTTTTTCTAACTTATTTTGAGTTAGAGAAGTAAAATAAATAAAAATTCAAGTTACAGAGGTAATAAGCATGTTTATTTGCAACTTAATTATATTATGTACCACAATAAAAAATCAAAATAATTTCGATACAACCAAAAAAGAATAAACAATAGGGATAAACATGTAAAAGACTACATCTTTCTATACACCGTGAAAGACTTCAATTAGGTAACTGATGCCATACACATGTTTTCCCTAAATCCAACAAATTTTCTCGGTTTTGGAAACAGTGGCTACAGTAGACTCCAACAGCAATTTCGTACCTCAACCCTCCAAACGATAGTTAAGCAAATTACTACTAGGTCAAGTATTGTCTTTTTAAGTATTGATAAAAAAAACAAGAAGATAAAACTTAACGATATACTGTTTATTTCAAATTATCAAAACCATCATTTACATATATTCATCATCACAAAAATAAAAATGATGAACGGTAAATCAAAATTGCATTCCATAATACATTTTAAGCATTATTTGATGCAGAAAAATTTTCTTTCAGCAATTCATAAATACAAGAAGAATGGAATATAACTTAGTGTGACTGATTCTGATCATATTACCAGTTCTGCTCTAATTCATTCCCAAGCTGTAAGGGCCAACTCAAATCTAGGCAAAGTGACAGCAGTAGACGCCACCAGCGATTTCGAACATTAACCCTCCTACACGATAGCTACGCACGTTACCCCAAGGTCAAGTGCTATTTGTTTAAGTATTGATAAGAAAAACAACAAGACGATAAAACTTAACGATATACTGTTCATTTCAGAATATCAAAGCCATTCATTTACATATATTCATCATCACATAATAAAAAAGGATGAACGGTAAATCAAAATTGCATTCCATAATACATTTTAAGCATTATTTGATGTAGAAAATTTTTTTCTTTCAGCAATTTATAAATACGAGATAGCTGGAATAAAACTTAAGAAAAGTATGGCTAGCGTGTAGAAATGGCATGTAAGAGCGAGGCAGAAAACGAGAAAATAATGAAAAAGAGCCATTGCTTTTCCCATTTTTATGCAGAGAACATTAATGAATTGTGTCTCAGGTACGCAGCACAATCGCTGGCTTAAAGCACGGAGGAATGCAGTCAGTGAGTGAAAAATGCAGGATGGCTCAAAGGAAGCTTTTTATTGCTTTTTTAATAATATTTCATAAAATTTCAGCATTTTTTTTAAATTTCGGTGTTGTCATGAAAAAAAAAAATGTTTTCTTTGAAAATTCTTAATTTATATATTATTTTTAAGAATAAACTGCGTGCAAATTCTTATAGGGATGTAAACTTTAATTTTTAATAAATATTTGTTTAAAGATAAGTATTAAAAAAAATTAAAGTATTTAATGAATCATTAATTAGTTTATTGAATATTATAACGTTCATTACAAAATAAAATGGATTATTAAATAGCAAGTTTTAAAATATCTCATTCAAGAAATAAGAAAAAAATTAAAAAAAAAAAAAAAAAAAAAAAAACTTTGATTAAGAAGGGGCCTGATGTCCGAATGGCTAGCGCTCTGGCGTTCGGTACCACAGGTATCGGGTTCAAATCCCGGCCTTACCATGGGGTTTGTAGTGGTTCGGAATCCACTTTAAGCCGTAGGTCCCGGTCCTAATAAGATCGTAGAGCGTTGGGGGCATTGTTACTCCACGTCCGTGGCTTATCACAAGTTACACGCGCCCCTGGGTAATGCAAAGTGGTAACATCGGTGCAACCCTTATGGCGAAGATCACGGTCTATGTGCCAGCTGCATTAGAAGAAAAAAATTTTGATTAAGACTTTTGATAAGTACTAGCATATAGCATTAATTATTATTTCTGGAATTGCAATATGTATGAAATGGTAGATTAGTTTGAAGTTGAAAAATTTTCAGCACAAATGAATTACAAAATTAATACATTTGAAATTAATTAATGTTAGTTGTAGTTTTCTAGTGGTTAGGGTTGTTGATTAATTAGTTAATCTAATAATTCTAAAAGCCAACAGCGGCCACATGGCCAATTGATTAGCGCATTGGCTTTTGTTTCCACAGACTTCAGAATCGAATTCTGATGATGGTGTGGATATTTATTAGTGGTTCGGATTTCACCTTAAACTGTAGGTCCTTATGAAATTATCCCGAAGTTTAATAAAAAAATGAACAGCAATACCAGAAGAGTAATCAATTTTTCGATTTTAGAGCTAATTTTGAAATTCAAATTTAAAATGATGTGAAATTACAATTATAATTAAAAATCAAAGCTGAAGGAAAAAAAGGATTCAAATTATTTAAATTTCTAATTCGTTGAGTTTTACGTTGAATTCTTAATTCAACGTTCCTTTTAATATGCTAATAATTAATATGCTAATTTGATTATAAGAATTATTATTCTATTTAAAAATAAATATGAAGGAAAATAAATAGTGACGGAAACAACGCCATTGTAAAATGACACTATAATAATCAGAAAATGTATTGTATTACTAATATATATATAAAGAGCACACATCACAAAACCAATAAAGAGTTGATAAGAAATGCAATAGAAGCATGACAATTCTGCACCAGCCACTATCGGTAACAGCAAATTTTATATCAAAACCATCTTAACAATAGCAATACAAATTTCCCAGATGTATCTCACACTCAGATCTCACAAAAAAAAAACATATTATTAACATTTTTAATATAACAATTATTTTCTTTTCATACAATTATACCAAAATTTCTGATTTTTAGTTTAATGGTTTCCACAAGTGTTTCTCGACACTGTCAACACAAAAATGAAGAAGATACATAAAATGAATGGCTTCACCTCGAATGAGAACAGGCTGTTTTATTTTTTTTTATTTATTTATTTTTTTTTTTTTGCAAGAATTAATTCACTTTTTACAGCTGAGAAACTGTAACAATCCGATACCGACCTTGAAACTAAAAGAAAGTCTAAAAGTTACTTGCACAATTCGAAACTATTGTACCAGAAAGAGTTTAACAACTGAATCCGTTCGTCGTATGACTTTCCAATTTTTAATATTAAGAAAATATTTGAGCGTTTTTGTGCTTTGAAGAGTAATTAAAAGTGCATTTATCACAAAAAGAAAGTTAGCCGGCTCTCGTACAAAGAAAGATTGTTAGAGACAAGTTCCAAAAAATTCACCAGTTTATAGATAGTTTTCCTGTAAAACAAGTCATTAAACAATGACATCAAAATTATTCGCTACAAATACAAGCAAATTCAAAGTAAGAAATATCGTGCACCGGATAGCAGCTGATTTTAAAATTGGTGACAAAGCTTATATGAAAAGAAAATCTAGTCATTCAATGTTAAGAAAGAGTTGATTCATCGTTTATTTTGCAATAAACGACTATTATGTATTGTATTATAACAACGGAGAATCAGGAGTTGTGTCAGCTTGAAAGCTCCCTTATCGATAGCATCTTAGAAGAACAATTGCTATTATTGAAGAACAATATGGCTTCCCGCTTTTCATCCCAAATCCAGAAAAAATACTCAACATACCAAAGAAAACATCCTAGTAATATTACGAATAATTTAGAGTAAACAAGACATCGGTACATACCAGCTAATTAAAAATATCTCCACAGTGAAATAATGAGAAGTGAACGACTACAAAGAAGGAAGCTAATGAACGACGATAGATTTCTTTCTAACTATATCGTCTTTATATTTACATCTATTTTCATCAAACTTTTACATCTAGTAAAAGTTTGCAAGTTTATTTGTTTTTCATTGTGGATTCCATAAAATACATGTTTTTGTAAAATAATTAACTCTTGATTTTTTCACAAGCCCAGGTTGATTTTGAAAACGGATCATATCTACATACGAAAATAGTTTTTCCTCACTGTGCTGTAGAATCATAAATAATTATGCAGATAATTCTATAGCATGTTTAATGC